ACTATGCTATCTAGTTTATATGAGTCATACAGATACTACCTTGTTTTGACTTTTGAACGACACAATAAACTTAATTACTCAGGCTTTACTCGTTATTAAAAAAAAATCACCTTATCCTAAACATCAACTAGATAAAAAGCATTTTATATATTATTTTTACCAGTACTAGTTATGTACATAAAAACATATTCATTTTAATTGATAACTTACTTCTTATTCATATACTAATATAGCTACTCTTGAAGAGCCTTGCTTTGTATAGCTTTATTTACCATTGTGTTAGGGTTTCTCAAAGTTCAATTGTGTAAGAAATATACAATTCTCTTGTGTTTTAAATTAATAAAAATAAGTTAACTTAGTTATAGTTATATGTGGAAGCGAATACATCAATCGCGTCAATAATGTTCGAAAAGCGATGTTTATTAATGCTTGACTCTAAGGAAAGGAGTAAAAATTTTCCATAATGGAGAAATGATACTCAGGGCTTATGTAATTTAATCGCTGCGGGCGTACGTGCATTGACTCATGTTTCATTCTACATAATAAGAGATATAAGACACATACTTAGGTCATTTTTATTTTAAACTTTCACATGCGGTTTTGATGAAATTTCAGGGGATGGAAATGTAACATGTTAAATGCATTAAAACTAAGTACAATCTTAGTTACCAAATAAAAAATAAAAGCGGATTATATTTTTTATCAAACTTCTAGCGGATTAAGCGTAAAAAAGATACTTTGTAATTTTTTAATGTTTTTATCAAATAATGGACAATCCTTTAATTTACTACATTCTCTTGCTATATGACGTTCATTCTCATATGATTAATATTTATACGGAAAGTTCTTATACTCGGTAAATTGTAATAAAATAATCAGCTGTGGACACTGGACGGCCATTTGCAATATTGATCCAATATGGCGGACGAACCCAAATAAACAACAGTCACATGTTTTGGCCTGCGAATTGTTTACAGTTTATTTTTAAAACAGGCGTGGCTATGGAGTTTCGTTTTCTAGTAAATTTGTTTATGACGCATAGAGTTAGAATTTAGAAAGGTGATAATATTCATAAGCGATAGAAGCAGTGTAAACTATGTCTTACAATGATTTTTTTTATGGCTCAAATACAAACGTAGTCTATTTTCATAATGAAAAATTGCTTTAGCCTTCAACAGTATTATTGCCAAAACATTACAATGATCGCATAATATTAATAATTCGAAAGTGCATAACATGGCAACGTTTCAAAATGACGTAAATATATGTTTGGTCGGTTTTTAAGTATTTTTTTACTTTTAAATTTCACTCTGAATTTACAAACAATTTTTAGAAATAATAACCCACAATAGAATCGAAGTCCGCCTATTTGACACTGTTTTAATTAAGGTGCTCTTTGTGTGTTGTGATACGCTGCATCAATTTCTAGGTATTAATAATAATCTAAAAATCTGTAATTTTATGTATCCATTACAATCAAACATACAAGATATCAATCTATTAGTAGTATTAATGTTTAAACACGTGATTCTTACTTTATAACAGTTAATTATTATGAAATCATTGCTGAGACCAATTATGATAAATTGAATCATCAACTATGTGACCTATGGTTTTTATTACTGTCACGTTTTGCAATACGTAAATTATCCCTAAGTTAATCGTATGTATTGTGTAAAGTGGAAAAATATATGTACGTGAAGGCAGTGCCGCGTACTTAAACAGTACATATATAAACAATGAAAAGGTGTATGTCTAACGTGGAATCTACTACATACTAATCTAATTACTACCCAGATATTAACGGAATTGTTATTTGGTTTGTCCTATTTTTCTGGACTCTTGCTTTAGGGGCGTTTACTGTTCATAAAAATTGCAAGTCTACTACCCGAACTATTACGCTTAGTATCCTCCCAATGTCTAAGCATTAGATACCTATGATTAGATAAATAGGCCGTCTATTAAAAAAAAGAAATTGTCTATACTAAGATATAATTTAAAATAAGAAAGTGTCCAATAACTTACAATCTCTATTGAAATTGCCGTCTATTTAAACACATATTAGAATTTTGTACCGCGAATGTAGCCTTGAATATACCTTGTTATCTTTCGAATTGGTAATTTTGCCATTCTATTGTAGAATTAGGTTGTTGGAAACCTCGAAGTATTGTTGGAAAACGGCGCTAATTGGTTTTAAAACATTAGTGTAATAATAATATCGTTATTTCCGCTAGTATCAAACTGTGAACTTTGTCGCACTAGCTTTTGTAATAAGTAAAAAATAAACATTCTCCCGGTTTCCGAAAGAAAACAATATTTATTATACACATGTAAAATTCAATGGAAATGGAAATATAATATATGAATCGATAAAAGTAGGTATATATTTTTATTTAGGAATCAATTTATACCACCAAATGTGCATTTGAAATAAATTATCATTTTTATTGTAGTTATGGTTCACTATTTTGGATATAATGGCTTACACATAAGATATAGATATATACTGTGGCGGGCTTTTTTGTAGGACTATTTAAGATAAACATTTTCATCATACATTACATATGTGTAATTATGTAACTCTAGCGGTTTTAGCAGCGCACGCCAGAATAGCTCGCAGATGGTAGATTTTTGGACAATTCACACAGTATCTTTATAAGTTGTAGCCTATGTGTTATTCTCATGTATAAGCTATATTTATACTTTATTTTTGTAAAGTTTCTTTAAAATCCATTCAGTAGTTTTTACGTGAAAGAGTAACAAACATCCATCCATACTTACAAACTTTCGCTTTTATAATATAGGATTCTTTACACGTGTCAAAAATGATGTTTTATATAAGACTGCCAGAGCATTAATAAATTTCCAAAGCATTTTGTTGTCATTTAATTATATCAGTTTTAGGCTATTTTTGTTGTAGTCAACAATAATGGTTAAAATTGTTGCCAATTGTGCGTTTTTGAAGAAATTGTCTTTTGCGTCGTATTCTATTTATAATTTGGCAATCGCTCTATAGAAATGTTTATCCTGTATTCTTAGTTTGATTTGAGATTTCCTCTGAACCACTCGTTATCACAGAATAAAACATTCTATAGACAGGATTTTGTTTATGGCACACAGTAAAGGAATCTTTTACAAAAAGATTCCAATAAAATTTTGACTAAAAATAAAAGATAGTAAAGTAGTAAAGTAAAGTATTGTCGTAAACATTCCACTTGAGTTGTGATATCTTTTATATTTTTTAAATTTATACTACATCGTTGCTCGTACTACAGAAAATAAAAGAAGATGGTTGTGAAAGTATACTGGTGAGTTTTCTTGTTTTAGGTGTGAAGTAAACTATACCCAATCACACAACACAGCCGAATTAGGTATTATTTAGTTAAATGTATTAATTAATTTTTATTGATAAATCCTTTTGTAAATGTTTGAACCTTTGTATAAACATATGTTTTCCATGTTTGGCTATATCTTGAGAATAATTGGTGCTTGTTATATATAAATTATGCTGTAGGATTACGAAATAAATAATTGTTTAAACATTTCGTAGACACTCTATTTGCCCATGTGAATTATCAATAGTTATATTTTTGTTATCACAAAGATTTTCATAAATCTCTGAAATGTAATAAAATAAATCTGGGTCTTAGCGTGAAACATTGATAAGCATTTTAATTCTATTTTCCTTGGCTGAATATTTCCTGATAAGCACGAATAGGATGTTATTTACGAGTTTTATTGCATTGTAATTTTATTTTAACCTTCACTAACGACTGATAACAATTGTTTGGTTACAGAACACGAAAAATTCGTTTCACAATCCGTAAATATTTTCCTAAGATTTTTGTGTGAAATTTTATGATGTGCTTAGTCGTTCCTGTAGAGTTATGTGTTAAGATATTATGTGTCCTGTTGAAATTCAAGTAAAGCTCAAACCTTATTACTCGAGAGGTCGAGATACATTTCACCAGAACGGCTGTAGATTTATTATACATATATGTTATTTCAAGTGTCGCATATTAGGGATTGTCCTAAATAAACGGCTACTGCGCATTTAACGGCTCTTGGCTTCGGAACCTTGATCCTTCATCATGATCACCAGAAAGCGGCTAAAAAGGAAAGGACCGCTTAGCGCGCATTAAGAAGACCTCTATTGGTTAATGTCGATTCCTTATATTTCCAAGTATCTTGTCATGCACCGGAAGTCGCGCGTAGAGTGAAGATAGATAATTATTTGTTAACTGCGTCTCACTGTCAACTTTCTGAACGTTTGGAATGTTCCATATTCTGAGTTTGAATAAAACTGATTCAAGGGAATAAACGATAATTTGAAACATTATTTCCATAACTCGGTGTTTCGAGTACTTTTCCTGTCGTGTCGTCGACGTGTATAATAAATTCGTGTTTATAACCTTCAATGTTTTCCAAGTCAAATACTTAAAAGTATGTTTTATGTCGTAAAACGATTGTTTTGTAAGTACATTTAATGTACAGATGACAAAATGAAATAGGGTTGTTTTTTTGCACACTGAGTCATTTTGAATTAGCCTACAAATGAAAATATATAATTAAATGTTTTTTTTTTTCAGCGGCGATGATGCGTCATCTTTGAGCGCGGCGGGCAGCAAGCGCTCGGCTTTGTCGGCTTCCGACGCCGAGTGTTTTTCGCTTTGCCTGGGCGCCGGGCCTCTGTGGTAAGTTCTCATTGAACCTTTTGGCTCGCGGGCGTTTAAGGTTTTTGTTTCATAGAAAGCCAAAAGAATGTAGATGGCGGTATCCCTGAAGACATTGTCTTTATTATGTGTTTTAGAAGCATTTGTGGGTACTGTTGAACGAAGGTTAGAGCGGGTAATGTGAACTTAGTGGAACTTTGATTAAATTAAGACGGAGGGTAGTTCTGTTTGTTTTAATTATTCTAAAGTATAATTTTAAAGAGCAGCTTGAGTAGCCTTCTTCCTATCTGAAGCCTAGGATTGAAACTCCGCCTATAGCGGACACCAATGGAACTTTCCATGTGCGGTGTGTTATGTAACCTTATTAGACTCGAATGTCGAAGATGATGACGTAATAGAATAATCGAAACATTTGTAGTTACTAAACTGTTTGTGAATAATTTATTTCCATATCTTCCCCAGGTGGTCCTGATGTCCCTGCTCACCAGCCTGCTCCGCCCGGAGGGGTGAGCAGCGGGGCTTCGAGCCCCGCAACCCCGTCCACCCCCACACATGACGACAACCACCGTACGTTTCAGTTTTGATAATATTTTTAATGTAATCTCACATTTAGGCCTCTTTTGCAGAGATATAATACTAAAAATATTTACTTTCAAATGTATGCTGACCCTTCATTCAATTTTGATATTCATAGGATTGTAGTGGTACCTACTAACAGCTGGGTCGCTTATGGTGGGACGGTATTAATTAAATCAATTAAAATAATTATCTAATTTGTTTTACAGGCGACTTGTTGAGTACGTTACTATGGTCAAGCGTAAGTTCGCTCAGCAACAGCGAGGAGAGCCTCAGCTCCGACTCCACTGCGCCCGCGCACCCCATACATCGGGAGGAGGTCCGTATATAGTCTTAATTGTGATGTGAACAATATAAATTACATTTAAATCGACGAATCAACCTTGTGACAATTGCAAGGCTGATCTGTGGTACCCATTTTCAGTGATTGATTTTGAATTAGAAGTCACTTCGACTCCAATAATATTGCGGTCTCAAGTCAGAATGTGCAGCACCCTCGTGTTCAAAATTTGGAAATATTTGTTACGAAATTTTAAAGAAAAATTCGCTTTTAAAGTTTTGGAAAAAGCCAGCTTATACGGATATTTTGACATGGTTGCCTATAATTCTGGATATTAAATAAAACAAAATTAATTCGGTGGCGCTACAACTTTTTTAGGTCTGGGCCACAGATTTCTTTATCTGTTTCATGATTTGTCTATCTAATAGGCATATAGGTGATCAGCCTCCTGTGCCTGACACACGCCGTCGACTTTTTGGGTCTAAGACAATTGGGGATCGAACTTACGACCTCAGGGATGAAAGTGGGACGCTGAAGCCATTAGGCAAACACGGCTTACTTAATTAATTTTGGATATTATTTTTTTTACATTAAATTGATATAAATAATTTCAGACAATCCGTAAGATCTTGGAGCGCAAGGACTCGAAGGCAGTGAAGATCGACCTTAAGATATATCTCACTGAGAACACCTTTACACGATGGGAAGCTGTAAGTATCATTAAAAAGTATTTCATTCACATTGAATGTTAATTTTGTCATTGAAGTAATTAATCTATTACTCACCTATTATATACTTGCAAAAAAATAAGTAAATAATAATAACTAGGCATAGAAACCATTAATAAATTGGATTAAACATACCTAACTTTAATCAACTTTATATGTCCAATATTCCAATTTTTCGCTATGAGTGCATGTTGCCAAAAGAAACATGATAATTATGTACCCTGTACCTATACTTCAATAGTAGTTTAATTCATAACAAATAAATCAATCCTAACTAGAGTACTCTTTCTTTTTTTTTTTTTTTTTTTTTTTTATAAGGGGGAAGCGGGGGGGGGGGCCCCCCTTTTTTTGGTGGGCCCCCCCCCCCCCCCCCCCCCCCCCCCCCCCCCCCCCCCCCCCGCCCCGCCCCCCCCCCCTTTTTTGGGGTTCTCCCTTTTTTTCCCCCCCCCCCTTTTTTGGGGGGTTTCCTTTTTTTTTGTGGGGGTTTCCCCCTTTTGGGGGGGGGGGGGGGCCCCCCCCCCCCCCCCCCCCCCTTTTTTTTGGGGGGGGGGGGGGGGGGGGGGGGGGGGGGTTTTTTTTTTTTTTTTTTTCTCCCCGCGGGTTCTCCCCCCCCGCCCCGGGTCCCCCCCCCCCCCCCCCCCCCCCCCCCCCCCCCTTGGTTGGGGGGGGGGGGGGGCCCCCCCCCCCCCCCCCCCCCCCCCCCCCGGGGGGGGGGGGGGGGGGGGGGGGGGGCGGCCCCCCCCCCCCCCCCCCCTCTTTTTTTGGGGGGGGGGGGGGGGGGGGGGGGGGGGGGCCGCGCGCCGCGGGGGGGGGGCCCCCCCGGGCCGCTTTGGGGGTTTTTTTTTTGTTGGGGGGGGGGGGGGGGGGGGGGCCCCCCCCCCCCCCCCCCCCCCCCCCCCCCCCCCCCCCCCCCCCCCCCCCCCCCCCCCCCCCCCCCCCCCCCCCCCCCCCCCTCCCCCCCCCCCCCCCCCCCCCCCCCCCCCCCCCCGGGGGTGTTTTTTTTGTTGGTTTTTTTTTGGGGGGGGGGGGGGGGGGGGGGGTTTTTTCCCCCCCCCCCCCCCCCCCCCTTTTTTTGTTTTTTTTTTTTCCCCCCCCCCCCCCCCCCCCCCCCCCCCCCCCCCCCCCCCCCCCCCCCCCCCCCCCCCCCCCCCCCCCCCCCCCCCCCCCCCCCCCCCCCCCCCCCCCCCCCCCCCCCCCCCCCCCCCCCCCCCCCCCCCCCCCCCCCCCCCCCCCCCCCCCCCCCCCCCCCCCCCTCCTTTCTCTTTTTTGTGTTGTGGGGGGGGGGGGGGGGCCGCCCCCCCCCCCCCCCCCCCCCCCCCCCCCCCCCCCCCCCCCCCCCCCCCCCCCCCCCCCCCCCCCCCCCCCCCCCCCCCCCCCCCCCCCCCCCCCCCCCCCCCCCCCCCCCCCCCCCCCCCCCCCCCCCCCCCCCCCCCCCCCCCCCCCCCCCCCCCCCCCCCCCCCCCCCCCCCCCCCCCCCCCCCCCCCCCCCCCCCCCCCCCCCCCCCCCCCCCCCCCCCCCCCCCCCCCCCCCCCCCCCCCCCCCCCCCCCCCCCCCCCCCCCCCCCCCCCCCCCCCCCCCCCCCCCCCCCCCCCCCCCCCCCCCCCCCCCCCCCCCCCCCCCCCCCCCCCCCCCCCCTTTTTTTTTTTTTTTTTTTTTTTTTTTTTTTGTTGTGTGTGTTTTTGTGTGTTTGGTGGCTCCCCCCCCCCCCCCGCCCCCCCCCCCCCCCCCCCCCCCCCCCCCCCCCCCCCCCCCCCCCCCGCGGCGCGGGCGCGGGGGGGGCGGGCGCCCGCCCCCCCCCCCCCCCCCCCCCCCCCCCCCCCCCCCCCCCCCCCCCCCCCCCCCCCCCCCCCCCCCCCCCCCCCCCCCCCCCCCCCCCCCCCCCCCCCCCCCCCCCCCCCCCCCCCCCCCCCCCCCCCCCCCCCCCCCCCCCCCCCCCCCCCCCCCCCCCCCCCCCCCCCCCCCCCCCCCCCCCCCCCCCCCCCCCCCCCCCCCCCCCCCCCCCCCCCCCCCCCCCCCCCCCCCCCCCCCCCCCCCCCCCCCCCCCCCCCCCCCCCCCCCCCCCCCCCCCCCCCCCCCCCCCCCCCCCCCCCCCCCCCCCCCCCCCCCCCCCCCCCCCCCCCCCGCCCCCCCCCCCCCCCCCCCCCCCCCCCCCCCCCCCCCCCCCCCCCCCCCCCCCCCCCCCCCCCCCCCCCCCCCCCCCCCCCCCCCCCCCCCCCCCCCCCCCCCCCCCCCCCCCCCCCCCCCCCCCCCCCCCCCCCCCCCCCCCCCCCCCCCCCCCCCCCCCCCCCCCCCCCCCCCCCCCCCCCCCCCCCCCCCCCCCCCCCCCCCCCCCCCCCCCCCCCCCCCCCCCCCCCCCCCCCCCCCCCCCCCCCCCCCCCCCCCCCCCCCCCCCCCCCCCCCCCCCCCCCCCCCCCCCCCCCCCCCCCCCCCCCCCCCCCCCCCCCCCCCCCCCCCCCCCCCCCCCCCCCCCCCCCCCCCCCCCCCCCCCCCCCCCCCCCCCCCCCCCCCCCCCCCCCCCCCCCCCCCCCCCCCCCCCCCCCCGCCCCCCCCCCCCCCCCCCCCCCCCCCCCCCCCCCCCCCCCCCCCCCCCCCCCCCCCCCCCCCCCCCCCCCCCCCCCCCCCCCCCCCCCCCCCCCCCCCCCCCCCCCCCCCCCCCCCCCCCCCCCCCCCCCCCCCCCCCCCCCCCCCCCCCCCCCCCCCCCCCCCCCCCCCCCCCCCCCCCCCCCCCCCCCCCCCCCCCCCCCCCCCCCCCCCCCCCCCCCCCCCCCCCCCCCCCCCCCCCCCCCCCCCCCCCCCCCCCCCCCCCCCCCCCCCCCCCCCCCCCCCCCCCCCCCCCCCCCCCCCCCCCCCCCCCCCCCCCCCCCCCCCCCCCCCCCCCCCCCCCCCCCCCCCCCCCCCCCCCCCCCCCCCCCCCCCCCCCCCCCCCCCCCCCCCCCCCCCCCGTCTCATTTTATCACAAGTGTAAATACTATAGTAATGGACATATGAGTATTTCTTAAAACGTTGGAATTACATAAATTAACATGGAGATTGTCTTGCTAAGGTAGCTAAGTTTACAGCTCACTTATTAAAAGACGTTTAATAATATACTTGCGGCACGCTTGCGGTACGTTTGCGGTGCCTACATTAGTTTTATCGTTATTTTATTCCTTACCTGTGTATAGCAAAGTGCTAAACATTCGCAGGTGGTGAAAGGCAACACGATGTACCTGCGTGTGCCTGGCGTGCTTCAGTCCGGAAGCAAGGAGAGCTTCATGCTGCTCTTGGACTTCGCTGAGGAGAGGCTTCGATGCTCCAAGTTAGTATTTCAACTCCTCTTGATTCATGGTGTTTCAATTATAGAATCACTTGATAAAAAAAAATATTTCCTATAAGGGAGCGTTCAAGTATTACGTAACGAATTTTGGGGGGTCCTTTTGTAAAACGTTACGATGCGGGGCGGGGATTGAATAACGCGTTATTGTTAATATTATTTTCGACTTTCCAGTACTTTAAACCACATAATGGTAACTTTTAGGTATAAAGAGTCACTTTGGTGATCACGAAACGTTTTACTAACTTGGGTACAGAAAAACGTTACGGCGCGTTACTTGGAGGAGGTTCAATACTCTCAAAAATTGCGTGACGTAATACTTGAACGCTTCCTAAGTTGGTCAGAATTTTTTACAGATAAGAAATTAATATAATAGATATAACTGTTAACTTTAAATTATACAAAACTTAAAGTTATTTAATTATCATTACCCGCTCAGTGTATTCGAGCCTAGCATTAAGAGGGTAATGATTATTTTAATATCTAGAAAGTACCTATACTATTAGACAGTATGAATAAACGAAATGACTGAATGATAAGAATTTTATTTTAGACCAATACTAATAATAAATACCTACTATTATTCCAGCTGCATAATCTGCGTGCTGAAGTCTCGCCCCGACAGGGCCACCCTCCTGCGCACCTTCATGTTCATGGGCTTCCAGCTGCTGCCCCCCGGCTCCCCCCTCGCCGCTGACATCGCGAACCCGGCCTACGTCTTCCTGCACTACAATATGCAGTAGGGTTGCCAGGTATATTCCCCTTATTCCTTTACACTTGACATTGACAGCTGTCAAATTGTGAAATTTTTCATACTTGTGTTTTTATTAAAGTTAACTGAGGCAGTGAGTAAATTAAATTTTTAAATTAAATGTTTCCTTCACTAACATCAAAGAACCAATTTGTCAGCTGCCAAACAGCAAAACTCGACACTGACATTGACATGTCATTTCTAAGTAACACCTTGTCTCATCAAATATTTTTAAATGGTAGAAAGTATACATTACGTTAGCAGTAAAATGTAATTAGAGTCCCTTCGAATATTTACCTGGCAATCCCTATTGTGACAGCAATCCAGTATTTTATAAGCCACACTTAATGCAAACAAAATCTGATGTTAGAATTGGCTTTGCACAGTATTTTCTTGAAATTTCAAAAGCTGTCACCGTTTTGCCATTTACCAGTATTTAATGCACTTCAACTCGCTTCATTAGATTTCGGCATCAACAAGTCTTATTATAGAGTAGATTTAGTCGCTAAGGTTTACCTTGATCCCTTTTCAACGTGAGTACTTATGCTTTCGAAAATCTAATGATCAGTTTTAAAGAGATCGAAGTAGACTTGAGAATTTTCTAGAATTTCAGCTTTGGATTTCATTTTGAAACTGCAATTTTAGGACGTTTTTATTAAGCGTTACGTCGTCGTGTTACCCCCTCCGGGTTAGAAAGAAAAAAAAAATATAAAAATAAAAAAAAAACAAAAAAATGTTTGTAATATACTTTGAAAGTTTGATTTTGTTCATAATTTTATCTTAATAGTGTAAGCCCCGCAAATTGCTAATTGAATTGAAATACAATCTATGGAACAACTATAACTTGATTTGGGTGAAATAAGGCGAAGAGATATTCTTAATTGTCAGTTAATGTGACAAGGTTCCAAATCGCTAGCAACTTGCGAAGCTTTATGTGTAAGATTAATTCACATTTATTTTTTTTGTATGGTAACACACTTTTGACTACAGGTTAATTTTAAGACTTACTGTATAATTTTTTTAATTTCCAATCGTACTTACCCAATAAACATTTTTTAAATTTAAAATGTGTGTCAATTTTTCACTTCAGAATATTTTGATTTAACGTTAACAAGAGCAAATAATTTCAATCAAACGAATTTAAATTTCATTCATTGTTTTTAATAATTAAAGTAAATTAAGGTATAAAGGTTTAGATTTAATTTTTCCCCTAAATAAGGTTTTGGACTAATTTTGAGTAAGTTAGTATTTACTTGTACTGTTGACAGTTTGTGTAGTGGCATATTCTTTGTGTTTCATTTTGATTTCTTCAGAGATCAGCTAAGACTTATTTATGAATTTAAAGGCAGTAAAGAATTAATCATATTTACATTTTTTAAGTTGTAATATTAATTTAATCAAAATGTAACAATTCCAATACTTCAAAACTAAACTATAACTATATTTCTAATTAGATTTCTTATACCAACCACTACACTGTATGGGCGTGGGTTTTATTCCCGAAAAATAAGTAATCGACAATTCATAACAAATGTCCCCCTGCCCCCTGCCCCATTGAGGGTATGGGCTTGATGAAAATTGTCAAGAGTGCAAGATTTAAGTTTCTTGTGTTAAGTATTTGATCGAAGTATTTCATTTACGAAACACGTAGTTGTAAGTTATGTAAAGGTATTAAAAATAAAATTAAATATTGCGTGTTTTATTTATGTCCCATCAAACGTTATCCTATTTGATTTAGTCTGTGGCTTGTATCGGAATAAAATATCTGGTCTAATTTATATTACTATAAATTAGACCAGATCTTAAGAGCGAATTGTAAAGTCTGTCTGTCAAACTTAAGTCCGATTTTGACAGTGACAGTTCGCATATAACATTTAGTCATTTATAACCGAATTAAGAAAATGGCGGTCTGAGTCCTTTGAATTAATATTTTGCTTCCAAAAGATAGTGAACTTTCTAGAGTAAAAATATAGGACTATATACAATATAAGACAAACGGTAAGTCAAGGCGAAGAAGTTTTAATACAATATGTATATAATGTATTATTATTAGCTGGTATAATAATATTAAAATTATTTGTAAAGTATGAATTTGATAAAATAATTTCTGATGCAAACCGCATTTATTATATTTTATTTTCATATGACTTTGTACGGCGGGTACAACTTATATTTTTTTTGATACCATATCGATACATATACCAATCTATTTTGATGTAATCTACAGAAATAGTATATTATTTTATTTCAATTAGGGCGATCACAAACAAAGATGCAATACCTATGTCAAAATCCAATAATAGTTTTTTCCTAAATCGTAAATATGTTCATGGTAATAAAGTATAATATCCTAGCGCAAATTATTAGAAAGTATATTATTTTAAAGCGCTTTGTAGAATTTTTTTACGTAGCTTTTTTGTGCTCATAGATAAGACCTACATCAAAACTACAGTTTCAAGTTTTTTAATTAAAAGTGTTATTAACGAAGTCATCGACCGGTATATGTATGTAGGAAATAAAACAATAGCTTTTATCCGTACATCTGGGAACTGTAATTATCCGTGTCCTTAATGGACGAGCTTAATAAATATAGAGGGAGTAGTAGAGGCTTGGACGCAGGAAAACACCCTGAGAAGGAATTCCGGTGGATGACGTCTTCGGCAATTTACGCTAGCTCACAGGTATACAAAAAAAGATTTTAAGACATATATTTGCAATGATTACCAATACCACGTTAAGCATAAAAAATGGATGAACTTAAAGGGAAAGCTTGCATAGCATAAGTTAGAATGGAGTGATCGTATGTTGCGTGGATATTAAAAAAAAATAATAGTAGAAATCGAAATCCTTCCACGGGGCTCCAGCTTGTTTATAAGTATTCGGTCCCGGAACAATAATTGTTTACCTGGAAATCAAATTTATCCTGTATTAATAGTCTTCGGTTAAAAAACTCACAATTTTTTGATTGCATAGTATTTAAAACTATGCAATCACAAATAAGATAAATTAATGTTCGTAAAATATAAACAATAAACACAACATTTATTTTCAAAATATTAAATAGCGTGACGTGAGATTCAGATATTAATTCATTAAAATTATAATTGTTCTGAGTCATAACATTTCCTACGTTGTAACTGTTTTTTATTTTTCTTCGAATTTGATTAAAGGATAGAGGTCGTTGACTTGATGCGTGTGATTTCTTAGACGGTGTAGAAAAATTTAATAATCAGACAACATTATACATTGCTGGTACATTAGGGGTTTAATAAAGATGTGTTTTTTTTTAATTAAGTTTGTCTTTACATTAAACAATTGTAATGGGAAAATGAATAAAGATAGATATATAAAAACAAATTAGGAAACCTTTTATTTAGGTACGTGTGTACAATGAGCCATTATGTGTAAATAACATCTAATTATAATTTAAGTATAGTTAGAAAATTTCTTTTAGGTATTTCATAACAGTTCCTCAACAAAACGTAAGAGTTAAATAAGTTAATAAAATAATTTTTGCAAACCTTACGCACATCCAGACACTTTTTATGGCTATCAATTAAAAATGGTAGCAATTAATGTGTTAAGAACAATGGTCGCTGAGGATTTTGACCACATCGTACAAGAAAACGGTTTCAGCGAACCGAAACGCACACACGATCAAAAGATTCGCGCCACATTATTTGCAAAACCAAAACTGGCTGGACGCATTATCCCTAAATTAAAAAAGAAAAAGTTATTTGACTGCGCGCCTTTTTTCACAGTTCGACAATTGAGTGTTAACTTTTTAAGTCTAGATTTTACATATAATGTTTTATTAGTATGTACGGAGTGTCATTAAAAATGATGTATATACTCGTTTTGTGGCCGGTTTTGCTCGCATCTGCTGTGCTGACTCTGACTATAGACTCATTGCTGGGAACATCAATTGAAGGTAAATTATATTTGTAACAATAACAATACACATATTACAAATTGTACTCATAAGCTAAGATTAAGAACAATTTAAACGGATTTCTACAGTAGCTGTACAATTTGTTATCTCTAAATTGGTTTTCATATTCTATTGCTTTATATATAAAATAAACAAAATTAAATATTTACCTAAAGACATGTCTATGTCTATCTTTTGTAAAACTTAGAATAGTTATGGTAGGCATCGACAATCTGTCACGACTATAGAAAAATCGTAGAAATACAGAGGCTTAGGAAATTTTTTTTGCTATTTAGATACTTTGTAAGTACTTAAACTGTTTTTGATGGGTGGATTTAGAGGTTAGTACCTATATAATATTTCTTTTGGTTTACGACAATACTAACATACTTCATATAAATGTCAGGTTTGGTTCTAGACTCCATCGCTAGTTATCTGTAATACTTTTTAAATGAAAAACTGTAGAAGATAGTTTAACAAATCAAGTTTAAAAACTTAAAACACACGAAGGGACAGTTTCGAAACTGTCCCTTCAAGCCGGCCTCATTGTCCGGATATATTTGCAATCGGATGCATTCATGTGATTATTATGTAATTACGATTAGCCATTACATGTTGCTTAAGTTACACGCAATGCATCTGGACAACTTTACAAACTGAAGTAAAATGTCGGTTTTTGATAGAAGAGTTTCAAGAAAATATAAAAAGTTTTATGAAATGTTATAAAATTGAAACAGTGTGCAGCAATTCTATAAAGCTCGAATGTCGGCTTCCGTTTCATCTTTTGCATCTTTATAGAGAAGTATATCAGGCTGCACTTGATTTCCTTCATCGTACGTGTTGATTGTGCACATTGAAGTTAGTGCACAGCCGGGATTCGAACTCACGACTGAGGCTAATACTGTATAAATTGCGAAGCCTTGCGTGGTGAAAAGAAGAATTTCTTCAGACATTTCCCTAAGGAAATAAACTAACAGCCAGCGAAACACATATTTCCAGTAATAAAATATGTAAAAGTTTTTAGTTAGTTTTTTTTATGTTTAGTTAAGTTATTAGTGGCGCTACAACATTTTTAGGTTTAGGCTTCAGATTTCTGTATGAAAGGAGGTGATCAGCCTCCTGTACCTGACACAAGCCGTCGAGTGTTTTACTAAGGCAAGCCGGTTTCCTCACGATGTCTTCAGTGTTCGAGCGAATTATAAATGCGCGCATAGAAAGAAAGTATAGCCACTAGCACAACTGACAACACTACTCACAAATAACATTAAAATATAATATGTATTCTCGTTAATATTCTAATGGTTTTTTTAGACTGTTTTGAACGTGTTGCGATTGGAGAGCAAATCCCTCTGGACGCCATTTATCGGAATGTGTCGGAACTAACAACGAAAGAATGCGAGCAAATCTGCAAGCAAGATAAACAGTGCCAAACTTACGATTATGGGTAAGAATTATTACAATTTCTAAATGTTATGATTAAACAAACTTTTTTGAAATGGCTGTGATGTTATGATTTACTTTGATAGTTTAGTTAGTAGGTATTTTCTTAATATCTTATCGTTCTGGTTTCGATTGCGATTGAAGACATAACAAACCAAATAAAATTAAGAACTTTATCATACGCTGTACCGTTCAGGATTACGTTATTGATTATTTTTTATTTATTAGTTGCGTTATAAATAAAACAAGGTAATTATTAGGGATGCCACGGGCCTTGTCGCTTATAAGCGATCTCTTCCAGGCAACCCTAGTAAGGAAAATAACTAATAAATAATACTAAGGGTAATGTGCAAAAAGTGTGTAACCAAATTATACAATTACCAAACTTAACCTAAAATAGGCAAGTCAAGTCAAAGTCTAAATCATTTATTCATATAGGTAACAGAATGTACCTACACTTATGAACGTCGAAAAAGAAATAAATGCTTCTAATTTTACATTTACTGCCAGTTCTCAATTCAAGGGCGTAGAATGGAAGAGAAGAACTGGCAATAAACTCTCCGCCACTCTTTTTAATCCTCAAGTTTTTTGTTTCACACGATGTTTGTAAGGATCTGCAACCATAACACCATGTAATAAAACTTATTTATTAAATATTCATTGTTAAATAAATCGTTTCTCTTTAAGAAACAATTGTTATTGTTACTGATTGGTAGCATTAATGTATTAATTAAAGAATACGTCATTACAATATTAAAGCAGGATCAATTAATTCCAGCGTGGGTGCAAAAGGAAACTCAACATGCGATCTTAGCAACGTGAACGAAAAGCAAATCAAAGAAGATAAACTTCTTATACGTAATCCAGACTACGATGTTTATGTCAGACGGATCCAATGTGAGCAGTCACCACCCACTCCTATGGACCAAGAAGTACTAGAAAATATTCCATTACACCGTCCAGTTATTAGACCTGATGAAGATAAGCGTCCATTAGCAGATGAATACTATGAGCGTCCCTATGAAGCGGATAGACAAACAAAACCATATGGAAACCAAGATAGGCCAGACAGTTATGATTCCCGACCGGCTGAGGATAGACCCCCGAGCTACGGAGCTCATACTCCACAAGAAATTCCTTACAGACCACGCCCGGAAAGACCAGACGATAGACCCCCTAGCTATGGACTTCACAGGCCTCAAGAAATCCCATATAGACCAAGTCCAGATCAGAGGCCATCCAGTTATGGATCACATAGACCACAAGAAGTGCAATATAGTTCAAGACCTGACAGGCCGGATGATAGGCCCCCAAGTTATGGACCAAGACCTGAGGAACACTACCGACCAGACAAAAGACCCCCAAGTTATGGATTTTATGAACCAGAGCGAGTTCCTCACCGACCAGAAAGGCCAGAAAGTCCATACATTAGACCGGACAATTCATACGATAGGCCTCCAAGTTATGGATTGCACAGACCACAGGAAACTTCATACCGTCCTATAGATAATGTTACTCAGAAACCACGACCAGCTTATTATCCTCAAGAGCAAGACATTTATCGACCAAAGCCAGAAACACCTGAATATCAATATTTCACTCGACCTAATCGAAGACCTAGCTATGACAGACCCATAGATTCAAAGCCAAATTATAGCTACAATAGCCAATATGCTAGTAACTATGGCAGCTCACAAGATAATTCAATCCATGTAGAAATATATGACCCACCACGATTTAAGCCTGCTCAAAGGCCTTACCATGAATATAGTCAGGGTTCATCAGGATATGGTCAAGGCTATGGATATCATCAAACAAGTTCAAGCCAAGGCAACTATGGACTTCAAGAAAGCTATATTTATGAAAGTAAACCTCAAGCGAATGGTGGATATGGTCCAAATAAATTTGACCAAATAAGCCATGGTTATGGAAGCACAACCCGCCAGCCCATTTCTCAAACTAACAAGCCCCAAGGTGATCGCGATAGCTACGGCATAAGTTCTTCTAGCTATGGAAGTGGTCAATCTTCAAGCAGTGCATATGGTAGCAGTCAAACGTCTGTAAGTGCTCAAAATGTGGGGGGTGGTTACGAAAGTTCTGGTACCGGTGGAAGTTCCACTTCCATCAATGGCTATGGCAGTGCTCCACCTGAATACGACGGTTTAAGCAGTTATGGAAACCCAAATACTAATAGAGTCCCAAACAGACCTACTTCTAGTAACGAATACAGTCAAGTCTCTAACTCTTATAATCAAAACTCTCAAAGTTATGGGACAAACAATAAATATGATGTCACTAGACCTTATAACGAACCATCATATGATCAGAACTCCCTATTTGGCAGTCATCTTGGGTATGGCACACATCATTTATACGAAATGTACGGGTTTAGGAAACCCTATGGATCCAAACCGCCTCAGAACTCCGGTTATGATAAACCGAGTAGTCCTAGCGAAACCGGTTATGGGACAAGACCTAATGAAGAATCATATTCTATAAGACCTGGTAGTTCTGGAAGTAAACCGAGCTATAGCTCACCGGATGATAATTACGGACAGACTAGTTTTGGGAGTCCGAGCGGTTATGGTAGCAGTAACCAAGGGACAAGTGTTGGTTACGGGGGCTCTACAAATAAACCAAGTCTTCACAGTGAAACCGGATATAAACCAAACCCTTATCAAAGACCTAAACCCACTCACGATAGTTATGGGGATAATAAACCGTCTTACGAGTCAAAACCGGATGATAGTTACGGTTCTAAACCGAGCGTTTATGCCGATGAGGGTTATCAAACTACAAAACCGAATTACAATGAAAGACCGGCTTTTAATGAGACTTTATCCGGTTACGATTCAGATAGACCGGATATAAAACCGGTTTATGAATTTGAAGAAAAACCAGATGGTCCTAGTTACATTTCTAGGCCCGATGGCAACATTATTACTACCAGACCAGTGCAAATAACCGACTATGAAAAGCAAGGCTATGGACGAAATCCCGACTGGAGATTCTCTAACAAGGGTGAGTTTATTTTAATGTAAAATTAAAATATAAGATTTTTACATAATATGTAATTCTAGCTGACCCGGCAAACGTTGTTTTGCCATGTATATTATTTCTAGGAAACATTTATTTAGTTCAATAAAAATGACTATCTACAATACTAAAAAATAGGTTGATTGAGGAGTGAAAATTTAGGGTTTTATGTATTTTTCAATGCCACATAATAAAAATAATAAAAAATAAATATTTTATCCAAAAAAAAAAACATTTTTTTTGGGGGGACACCCTTATCACTTAGAGGTTTAAAAGATATATAGTAATGAAATGAAAGTGAAATGAAATGAAATGAAATGAAATGAAATAGTTTATTCTTGCAAGTAGGACTATATAAATCACTTTTACAATGTCTTCCCTAAACTAGATGAAGTCGACATTTCCTAACTGACTGCCCTGAGAAGAAATGTCAGAAACAAACTCAGGGGTCTTAGTCTCTTTTTATAGTCCAGATAATACAATAATAAATTAATAAGTTGGTGTAAACAAATGCAGAGTAATTTACTGGACTGGTCTTTGGAAGAAAGAACCAGTCGATCTGAGCATCTGGAGCAGCCTGCGCCAGGCGGCGGGGGGGTTCGCCCCCCCGGGGAATAGCTCATGCAGCTCAACCATTTTTGAGGAGCGAGCTGCACAACCCGAGTACACAAAAATACACGCCAGAGGCACCATAAAGATATGTGGGGCAACAACTCACTCAGATCGCCAGCCCAAAATACTATAGACTAAAATGTATCAAATTATAAATCAAGCAAAAGAGTTTATGATATACCCGCCATAATGTTTACACTTACAATGGATACAAAATGTATATTTAAGGTGTACCCTTAAAGCAAGGAAAAATAATTAAATTGAAAAATATAATCGTAATATAAACATTATTCACTTGGCATGTCAAAGTGTAAAATATTGTATGCAAAAGCACAAAACATGTCAGTATTGTAGAAAAAGAAAAAAGAAAGAACATAAACACAAAACATGTCAGTAATGTAGAGAAAAATAAAAAATGAATATGCACTAGCACAAAACATGTCAGTAATGTAGAGAAAAAAAATGTAAAAAATGAATATCACTAACACAAACATGTCAATAGAATAAAATAAAATGCATATGCAAAAGCACAAGACATGTCAGATTGTAAATATGAAACAACATGCAAAAAAAAAAAAAAAAAGTGAAAGAGAGCTTAAAAAAACACAAGCGATAGCTGTATAAGCGAGCAGCTCAATCCCAGGCGTTTCTTCATTTAAATAATCGGATATCCTGTAATTCCTTTAGTTAATAATTTTGATTTAATAAAAAATTTAAATTTCTTAAGGGGAGAGTTTACTTTAGAACATCCATAGGAAGTTTATTGTAAAAGCGTATACATTGACCCATGAACGAGTTGCTTATTCTATGAAGGCGAGTAGCATGAACTGTTAAATTATTTTTTGTTCCTAGTATATAGTATTAGCATAGTAGCTGGTTCTCAGAATTACTGAATATGCATAAAACATTTTTAAGAATCGGTCGAGCCGTTTCGGAGGAGTATGGGAACGAACATTGTGACAACAGAATTTTATATTTTATATATTCATATAATCAATATATTCAAATTAAATGAATTCAGTAGGAAAATTTATTCTCTTTTATTATATTTATTGTCTAAATATTAAATAATTAACAATATTTTTTCTGTGTAAGGTGTTTCAACTTATGCTCTGGATAACTCGTTATTAAATACTTAACAAAAGGAAAGATATTGGTTCCCAAACCCAAATAGAATAAAATTATTAATAAATTAGACAAATTAGTGTTTCGACTATGACAAATGCTTCTTGGTATCTAGACATAGACATAACATTTGTTACTAACGAAACACACAAAATAATAATAATAAAAAGAACTTTTAAAGAACTAGGTACGTTTTTGCTTCCGTGACGGAAACATTAAAGGGTTTATTATAATCAAATTCGTTTGCTATACAATTCCTAACGTTAAGTAGAGATGCGGTCTAATGAATTGCATTTCTAGGCTACTCCTTTTATCACCCACTCCATTACCAAGTTCAGCGGTTGATCACGAGTTATTTTTCCAAGTAAAAATTAAATGGCCATAAGTTTGTGTGGGACAACCCAAGCACAGCCAGTAAAGTCGGTCAAGCGTCTGTTCCCGTTTCGGGCATCAGTCCCTGCGCAATAGCAATGGAGTAGAGATTGTGTTTGTATATGCGCAAGTACTCATTATCTCCTTCTTACATCCCAAAAGAGAGACCTGAAGAACGTAAAATAATCCTTTTCCCGCTGCGAGAAAATTAACATTTTTAATTGGCATATGGATAATACATTTTATAAAAATGGATGTTAAGGTCATTCCCTGCGCAGTCATTCGGCGCCATTGTTATGTTAATAATTTAAAACAAAAGCCTTGTCTGGTTGTTGGCTTAACGGATTAAAATAATTGACGATTTGATGAGAAAATATAATTATATGGCAGCGACATTTTTTGTTTTGTTTCACGCGTACCTCCGTTTGAAACCCTTGCCTTCATAATAATAATAATTTATTTATTGCAAGAATATGGTACAAAAATGTAAAGGTGGTAAAATCGTAAATCGTTCGCATATTCTGCCAGACACAATGGCGCGCAAATTTGTCTAAAGGAATTTTACATTATTATGGCGCGTCTAAACGGGCCATGCTTTGCTGCAATTGATGGCTGCAACACTGTGGCCGGCAACATTGCAAACAATAGCAGCCACACTATGCAATATTGCAGTAATGTCCCGGCCATATAGCCAAACATGTTTTGTATAGCCACATATGGCCGATGTTGCCCCGATAGGTGGCCGGACGATCGCTAGGCTATCGAATTCAACTGCAATATTGCACGGCCAGTTCTCTTGTTGTTTCAGTCACTCTCTTTGTTATGGCATAGTGTATCCTTTTCTACGCGACATGACATTTGCTTTGAGTGAAGTGTGCCTGTTGCTTTATTCTGTGTTTTGCGATCAGCTGTATTTGACGTTAGATTACTACGTAAAAATGACTACTTTTGACATTCTAGTTCTTGAATAATTTATTATCAAGACTTATTTCTAGACTCAAATTGTCTACAGTTTCACGCCTATTTAATTAAGGTCGAATCCACAATCTCTTCTTTTTCTGTTTCTTTTTTAAAACAATATAAGCTGCTGCGACAAGTGTGATTTCGTCAGCCATTGTTACCGGTTTGTGTGGCCCGTTTAGGAGTCTGCATCATGGGCCATACTATTGCAGACATATTGCAACACATTGCCCAGCCATAGATTGTTCGGCCATCAGCTGCATTAAAATATTTTTGTAATGGCCGGGCAATTAGTGGCCAACAGTGCAGCCATCAATTGCAGCAAAACATGGCCCGTTTAGACGCGCCATTAGTCAAAGTCAATCCTTATATTATATGTATCGTACATATCATACTTTACTAAATTTATGTCAATTACAGTGTCCCATGCAAATAATCATTTATTGAATAATACATTTTTTCCAAAAGTAATACACTGAGTCGCATATATGCGACTGTGTACGTTTTTTCGTATTACATTTTCAATTTATCCCACTTTGTCATAATTTTGGTATATTTCAACCGGAAGTGCTACAAGATTACAACTTCCTTAGTCACATTGTTAAAAAAATTCAAGGATAATGATAAAACTTATGCAATATATAACAGAGCGATTTGTCCATGTTCAAAGCTGGCTTTGTTGAAGAATAGGGTTGAGTAAATGCAATTTTTTCAGTAGAGCAGTGTTCGCCTTGTGGCTTCAGTGTGCGGTTCGATCCCCGGCTGTACATCAATTAACTAACTAACTTACTATGTAGGCTTTTAGTTGACACTCGTTTCGTACGGTGAAGGAGAACATCGTGAGGAAACCGGCATGTCCTAGACACAAAAAGTTGACGGCGTGTGTCAGGCACAGGAGGCTGATCCCTTACTTGCCTATTAGATTGACAAATAATCTTGAAACAGATACAGAAACCTGAGCCCCAAACCTAAAAGTTTGTAGCGCCACCGATTTATTTATTTATTTTTTAAATGCATATTTTTCTACTCCACTTTGTCTTCGACAAGTCTTAGAGGTGTACCCAAGAACCGTCTTCTTTCAAATTCAAATTGAAAATCATTTGTTCATTTGATAACACAATGTACAATTATGAACGTCAATAAAGAAATACATATTATTTTGCCACTCAAAGGCTCGTTGCATTTGCGAATTTTCGCTTTTTTGGTTTCACGTCCATCTTAATCGCCATAAAGATGATGATAAAGGTTGTTGAAAGGGTCATATCTAACACAATGGGCCAACGAAGGTCAGTTATCTACAGTATGATATACGTTAACAATAAGGTTCACAAAAAGATTACAGATATTAGATTTTTATCTTAAAAGGCTGGCTTAAGTTAAAAGACAATTTATCATTACTACAAACATTTTTTATTTATTTACAAAAAACACAATCCTGTCCTAACAGATTACCCGAAGTCGACAAGGATGCATGAATTAGGAAAAACAAAATTACATACTATAGGCACTAACAAGTATTGGAACATTTGTCTGTTTGCTCAATGGTCAATAAAAAACTTTTCCCTTACTAGGGTTTACTTGGCAAATATCGCTTGTTAGCTCATAAGGCCGCCCGTTCCATCCCTTGTAATTTTTTTGTATTATGTTATTTATTTTGATATGAATGTAACGAAGTGTGTATAAATAAATACAATAATTTGAATTTAAGGCACCGTAGTACTGCCGAATTAATGTCTTTGCCATGTAACAATTTTATTAAGTAAATCACAAACGCGAATTGTCGGCGTACTCTAAGCTCTTTATAGCCCACTGAACCAAGAATAATTGTACCGTACATCCTAAGATAGATGTGCCTTAAATATAAATAATATAGTACCTATCGTAAAACTACATTCACATACTACAAAAATACATTCTCGTTCTTCTTCTTCAAAGA